TCAAAGGAAAGTTAAATTTCTACCAATTCTTTGGTCTAGTTTCTTCTCTTGACTCCTCCTACCTGCTCATTGTTATACGTGATAAAGCATTTGTATGAAGGGACTTTGATTGATTGGGTGGAAAAAATACATAGAAGTGACTGAAATGGTTTTGGTGAAAGTCCTGCCAGCTGGACCGAAGTGTAATGGAATGTAGGGAATTTGGAAATTCCTTTGTTCAGCTGGATGATTCCTGTTGATATTATGAGGATTTGTTCATTTTTTAGTTCTGATAACAAAGAATATTTATGTATTTCCACTATTCTTCAAACTTTTTCTCTCCCCCATCTCTCTCTGTCATTCTGTGTTTTTCACACATACAGCGCAAAACTATTTGAAGTATTTTTACACAGAAGCAGCATCTGGTTCCTTTATTTTAGCATTTTTTCCCCACTGTCTCAGCTTATCCTGTTCATTTTCCTCAGGTGTGAGGCAGAACACCAGACATCCGAGTCCATTTGTTTGCACTACCGAAGTTCACAAGATTACCGTATGATGAAACATAACAAATGGCGCAATGACAACAGGCCTGTTATTTCCTGGTAGTCTGTGATCATGTCTGACAAGCATGTCCTCTGATATTGAATGGGTTTGTTTGTGAGTGTCAGACCTCCCAGGGAAACCCTGTGAATGAGGCATCAGCACAGTCAAGCTTCAACACGTCTCCTCTCATTCAGAAACACATCCTGAGCCTCTGAAAAAGCACAGGCCTGGATGGCAAAAACAAACCAGCCTGTGTGTCCCTGTCTGTCACCTGCCCGAGGTGTCTTGATAAAAATCATTGATGACACAGTTGAATAAACTGGGCTGATCTTGAACCTGAGGCAAGGCTATTGTGTAATTTTCCCATACTAATTTATTAATTGTTTGTGTTCAGGGCATTCACAGTCAAATATCACATGATACATTTTCATCAATTAAATTAATTTACTTACAAAGCCCAGTTTTAGAGCATCTGTAAAATATGTGGGAAAAGAACGTTTAGACACAGCGTTAAAGGATTAATCCCATTGCCAAATAAACAGCCAGTCCGGGAATCAGGACTTTGTACCAGTAGACACCAGAGTGTAAATGTCTGTTTTAACTAGTCTGTCTGTTGACATATATATACAGTGTGTAATCTGTATATAATTATACATCTAACATGTGGTTCCTTACTTCTCTACGCCCTTCCAAATCACCCTTCCAGTTTGGGTTGAGAACTTTTCAACACATCAGTATTTTTCACATAACAAAAAAATCAGAGGCACAGCTGCTGGTCTCAAGAGGTGGCTAAACAACATTTAGTACACAATTTGGCTCTTTTTACTTAGCTGTTTTGGTTAAAAATGTAACATTTAGCTTCAGGGTGGAACCACCACCCTGCTCTGTGTACCATCTGTGTACTTTGCAAATGTTATGGAAATCAGCCTGTAGTCTATGTAACTCCGTGTTGTGTGGCAATATCAATGATGTTTTACCCTTTTGGGACGATGAATAATCAACCGAGGTTTTTTTTGTTGTTTTTTTTTTGTCTTGTTTACCAAAAACGCAGCAGGAAATCGGGTTGATCAGAGTGGTAAGACCAAATATACAGAACATTTGTGGGCAGTTAAACTATGACAATTAGCTAAACATGGCTGAAAAGCTCTGTAGGCCTCTGCTTCATTAGTAGGTGATAATTGTCTGTGTCTTGGCAAGGATTTGGTTGGCACTCAGGCAGTTTAACCTCTGTTCTAAATCAAAGTTTTAGGGAAGTGCTATTAAGCTACAAGTAACCATAGAAACAATAATTCTTTTGAACATAAGCATCTGTTGTCGGAAATGGACATTAAGTCCAATAATACACTCTGTGATTTCCTGAATTGATGAAGTGGAGCAGTTGTTTTTTGTTTGTTTTTTACATCAAGAGACGGTGTCTGATACTGGGACTGTTCTTTGCAGTAGACTCAGCCTTAGATTATTTCCCCTTGATGTTTCACATGATGTCTTACATGTCAGTAAGATATCACTTGACTTATAATGTTTCGTAGTTTATCTAAATGTAGTGTGTCTTTTAAAGTGAGATGTGGAACTTAGATACTCTTAGTTGTGAAAAATACTTTAATATAAATGTTAGCATGCTAGCAATGCTAGCTGGTCATTATTTACAACTGCCATCTTTTTAGAGAAGGATCTTAGTGCAGACCTCTCTCCTTGGGACCGAGTCAGTGGAAAGAGTGAAGGGGACGAGGTAACATGTTTTCCATGACTATGAAAACAATATTCTAGATGATATATATTAGTAAATTCATCATAAATAGGCAGAGATTTACATGTCACTAAATTAAAATGAGTTTCACCACACAATTAGTTCTTGCGTAGAGTCGAGATTAACTTTATGTCACTCAGTAACTGTGTAACTGTTACGTAGCTAACCAACTGACAAAGCTAACGTTAGCTTGCTAATATTCTGACCCGTTTAGACTGAAGAGTAAAACAGTTATATGGTCGAAATGCTGTAACTTACCTGATACATCATCAAAATGGTGTTTAATTTCACAAAAATAGACAATGTAACTCAAATTACAAAACATTATTGCAATACTGTTTGACTGAATGACCAAATAACATTGTTCAGGTTAGCATCCTTGAATATCTAATATTAACTCAGAAGGACATATTCCAGTCTGCACAAATAAATAAATCAAAATCACCTACATTTACAAAAGATTATCAGTTTAGTCTAATGTGAGGTTTGGCCTCCTGAAACTGTTGGGAGAAAATAGTATGTTACAGCTCATGATGCTACAGTGCCTTGACATAGTTGATTGCTTTTGATTAGAAGGTGCTACAGATGTTTCCTAGCAAGACATACACATTACATAAGTTTTTGCTCATGTGGCTTTATCATCCAGGCTAGTGGTGCTATTGACCTAAAGATAAACAAGTTTGTTTCTCTTCTCTTCTGTGGCTTCAGACGGAAGTTTAAGTTGTTCACTATTCACTAGAAAACCATGTCGTATGTCAATACAACACTGGTCATTTGAGGTCACGAACATTGTGATGGTGGTTTTGTTAGTGACCGTCACATTTACATTGCATTGTTGCATATTTCAGCTCTTCATAAATTTTAGTAAAAATGGCAGATACAGTATTTTGGAAATAGTAGTGCATGATTTCAGACACATCCTGAGTCTTGGAGATCTTAGCTAGAAGTAGGCGTATTTTAGAATGCTGCATTATTAGCTACCGGAATCTGTGGGTGCCGCTAGCTTGCTTAACACTCACTTCTAAACACAAACTTAAAAGGGGGTTGTGTGAGTAGTCCTCATTATTATCCTTGTACCATCATGTCACCATCATCAAGTAATTAATTTACTCACACTCTACTGTAGAACCACAGGATGGTTTATAATGTGGAATGTAGCTACTTGTCCACATGAAAACGAAATAGATCGATAGATAGATATAGATAGACCAGAAAAAGTCACCATAAAAACTGTATTAGAGCTTTATGACAATAAGTTTCCTCTCATGGTAGTATAGTATAAAAGCTATATTGGCAGTAGCCTACAGTATATTTTCCAGGTCTAATTAATTCATTATTAGCATTATTAATGTAGGTATTTAGGTCCTATACTTTAAAAATCCCATTTCAACAAAATGGCAAAATGACAATACACAAGAATACACAAGTAAGTGCCTTAGGGTGTGTGTTTGTGGGTGTGTGTGTGTGTTTATATGTCATAGCCATGTTGTTTAAGGACAACCTCCCCCATAGAAAGACGAATAATCCTTAGCTTGACGTGCCTCAGTGGAGCCTGTGACCTTGCATTGTTTGGATTTCTCTGTTTGAATAAGCAGTGCCCCCACGTGAGACTTTACAAGCTATAATTCAAGGCAATGGGTCTTCAAAAGTCTGTTTTTATCTATATGCTGACTGAATGAAGTGACATTTGAACGTCTCTAAAGATATTGATTCCTTGGCCCACTGAACAAATTGATGGCTATGCAGTACAATAGTGTGACCTTTGCTGATCTTGTGTTCACTTTGGTTTGTTATCATAACATCTGCAGCTTTCATTTTAAGCGAATGGTAGCACCAAACAAAATGTGTTACAGCTAGTCATAAAACAGTATTATTATGACCCTGTTCAAATCAAATCAGTTTTTTTGTTTACCTACAGTACAGCATGTATTTATAGTCCACCACCTCTTTGACGAATTATGAGAATGGTGTAATTATCTTCAATAAAATACATCACAGATTTACTGTGCCTGACAGTCCAAAAGATGGCCAGCTGACAGAACATCTTGAAATGAATGAAATCATAGTATATACAATATATTGGCCTTGCTTTTTGTGTGTTCCTGGTCTCACATGACTGCTTATGCTCTCTCCCACACTGTATTGTCACAATGTCCAGGAAAATAAAGCCTAGACAAAACCTCAAAGATATACTTCAAAACTAAAATGTGTTTGTCATAGGTAGTCATAATAGGGTGGGGTGGGGGTGGAATCAGAGCACAATAAGTAATGTTCACTAATGTATGGGGCGTTGACTCTGTACTAAAAAGAACATACACTACGCTATAAAACCCCTTTTTACTACAACATACACTATAAAACACAGTGTCTACAGTTACACTTATTATCAGTCTCTCTCACATGTCTCATAGCCATTTCTGCAGGCTCAATGAGTAAATCTGTCCACTTGGTTGTCTTGTGACTTGTTTGCAAAGTGAACTTGAGCTCTTTCATGTAATAGCCTCACTGCTTTCTAAAACCTGAGGAAGAAAGGATTCCTTTCATGCTGTGTGGTGCACTTTGATTTTCAATCAGATTATTGTCTGAATTTTTAAAATGCACACACATGCACATTGGTGGAAAGCCATACCCTGTCACCTCTAAAGTGTTGTCTGACTGTGTCAAAGCAGTACTTTTTCCAAATGCTGAAACAACTCTTGAGAATAAATGACACGTTCTTTTCCAACTGTAGGGTGTCGACCAAAAGCAAAGCACCATCCCCGCCAGGACTAAAGTGTCTGGATTCCCCAGGTTTCTCCCAGTGGTACCCAGGAAACCCTCATTTTACCATGGATCAGAAGGAGAACCTTATTGATAAAGACCTCTCTTTGGTTGTGGTTCTACCTGGCGGAGAAGAAAAGACGACCGTAGTCAATGGAAGGTACAGTTAGACTACTGTATCTATATCAGCATCTCTCAATAATAATATGTAAAATCATACAGTTACATATAAAAAATGTTATGCATGCAGTTTGAGCAAGTAAACCATTGTGCATGCTGAATATTTCAATATTACATGTCAACACGACGTCATGAGACTGATGTCAGATTAAGTCATCACACAAAGTTCGGTTCCAGTTAGACTGAGTCAGATAGGTGGGGTGTCTGAATGTGTGGTTTTAGTTAATATGCGCACGATGGTGTGAGTGAGCATGAATGAACTTTTGATTCTCCAGCTGGGTAGATTATCACTTGATTGCATGCTACAGTGCAAAAAAGGACACACACATGTTAAGATTGGACTGCGTCACCTAATCAGATCAACATGTGTAAACATAACTCTATGTCAAAGTTTTTCGAGAACAAGGTTAGTGTGTCCTTCTGTGAGTCTGCTCACAAACACAGACTTTCCATCAAAAGAGTTTATTTAAGATAACTTTATCTTAATTACAATGCAAGCAGTTTACAAACATTCTTTTCAGGTGTCTTTTGCACCTTGGCCCGTTGAGAAACTACTGAGAACAATCCATTATGAAAGGATTAAGCACTGAATTCTTTACCTTCTTTTCTCCCTTTAAACCTGTTCATTGTGCCTGCACGACAGAGGTAATGCTTTATTTTGAGGATTAACTTTAAGGCATTGTGTTTTAACTGTATTATCAGTGTCAGGAAAGCTTCATGTGGCTACTGGTGCTACTGTTAACTACTGTAAATTAGCTTTGAATTGTTTCCACACATTTTGTGCAGCTTATTTGAGTAAATTTGAACCTTTTAATTTAAATCAGTGAATGTGCCAAGATATGAAATCAGCTGTCTTTTTTTCGTGAAACAATTAGAGTGGCAATGATTAGTCGATTGATACATTCTTGGGGGGGGGGGGTGAAACATCAAACTATCCTTAAATCAAGGAATAGAATGAATTGATAAGCGAAGCAATATTCATACCCACTTTCATCAGAATGTTTTATGTTACTGGCACTTAACCAGATTTCATATCTCCCCTCTTATGCCGAACAAATTATTTTCTTTTAGTTTTATCATGTCCTTGTGTCTTTCAGCCAACCCCTAATGGATCTATTAGTGACGCTTTGTGCAAAGTATCACCTGAACCCATCGAGCCACACCTTAGAACTGGTCACCGCCAACAGCAAGAGCACCAAACTCAAGCCCAATGCTCTTATAGGAACGTTGGACCCAGAGAAGATCATAATTAAACGTAAAGGGGAGGATAAAAATAAGAAGACAAGTCCTCAGATGCCTGAGGTACGTTTAGCACATGACACCATGCTGGCACATAGAGTAAACACCACTACTTTCTATTTATGCTGGGTAAGTGGCGCATTTTGTATTCTCCAGGCAACTGTTCGAATGGTGATAAACTACAAAAAGATGCAGAAAACTGTACTGCGAGTCAGTCCTCGAGTTCCCCTGGCTGAACACTTACCGGCCATCTGTGAGAAATGTGAATTTGACGTGGAGACTACAGTTCTGTTGAGAGATGTCCAATCACTGGCCCCTTTGGATGTGTCCCGCTCTCTTAATGATTATGCAATAAGAGAGGTTTATGCAAGAGACACCAAAGGTAAGCACTTATGTATTAAAAAACTGAAGTATGCTGCATATGGTGTGGAAGTTTGCTGTTTTTAGCATATTTACCATTCATTATTTGTCACACTGTATCTCATTTGTTGTCTCGTGGAACCACTTGTTCTGCACTATATTGTATGCTTATTGGCTCTGCAGGACAACCTGCTTCTCCTGTGTGTCCAGCCTCGCCATCTCATGCAGGTATTTCAGTTTGTAAACTGTACAGAACAGTATTGAGCTGTCATATTTTTGACTAATGTTACTGTGTGTTTATATTTTTGTCAACAACAGTCACGCCGGGCAAAGATAAATATCAGAAAGAAGAAGAAAACAAAGGCCTCTTCAGCAAGTTTAGAAAAAGCAAGAAAAGATCTGACCAGGTAGTGCAGTGTTTTCATGTACTGTTCTACAGCTGTATCAGAAGGTAACTTTAAATGTTCAGAGGGAGGTTTGTTTACTTTGGTTTGCCATTGGTTGACGCGCACTGGGTTGTTTGGGAACAGGCCTCTTATCGTGTTGTGATTGGATGTTTGTACTTTAAAGGGAACGACAGCCAGTGCCCCAGCTTCTCCTGTGCTTGTGAGCAAGCCTCGACCTCTCAGCATGGCCTTACCCAGCACCAATTTGTCTCCGATCATCTCCTCTACTATACCCACCGATGTGCCAAAGAAGAGACGTGCACCCGCGCCCCCTGTCCTTGTGTCTCAGAGCTGCCCCTCGGACATCAGCACTCGCCCGAGATTCAACTCTGAACCTAATGACCAACTGGACAGTGACCAGGTGAGTAGACTGAATATCAAGACAGAAGCTCTGAGATCTCAGCAGAGCTTATATGATTTATGTGTTTAAGTGCATTGATTATATAACTTAATTAAATGTTGTTATGTACCATAGATGGTTGGTTTAAGCCGTGGTTCTTCAGCAGAGTCTTCACTAAAGAGAACCAAGCGCAAAGCTCCTCCACCCCCCACATCCTCTAGTGCTGTTGTCCAAGAAACAGTCCCTCTAGATGAAAATTTGCCAGGTTTGTATATGTTTACATTTGCAAACTTTTGTGATCGCTCAGTGTGGCATACATCTACATAATTTCACTGCTATATTGAAAGTATAATATTGCCTGTTGTGTGACGTTTTGTGTACTTTGGCCTCAATGACAAGGATGGGTCTTTTCAAACTTGCAGCCAAAGACTACACTACTATTTTATTTTAATGACTCTTGTGCCTCCTAGTGGTAATTTTTGAACATTTTAAACACATGCTCATGGGGACTATGGTGGTCAGAGCATGGTAGTTAATTAATCTGAATAGCTCTTATGTTTGACTCTGTGCATTCCGGTCCATTTCCATTGGTTCTGCATGTTCTCTATACTGCCTTTTTAAAATTCATTTAGTGTTCTAGCGCTCAAGCTGTGCCTGTTTTTTCAATCTATATTTACTATGTACCTCTTCTATCTACATCTGTCGTTGACTTACTTGAGGCAAGCTTTTTTAGTATTTTTGTCTCTTTTCAATCCGTGGAAAGTTTATCTAATTACCAATCAAGTCTTGCTTATTCAGATATCTGAAATGTCTTTGTAAAAAATCAAAACCTCAACAGATGTTTGGGCATTCCAAATTACTGTATTTTTCCTGGTATTTTTTCTTGTTGAGTATAATTAACTTGCTTTGACACTTTCCTGTGATTGTGTAGACCCATCTGACCCTAACTATATTGTTCTGTGAGGGAAACTCCACCCGTCCTGAATACAAAGGAATTTTAAGCAATAACAAGAAAATGTCCCCCCTAAAAAATTAACTGAGGTCTAATAAGTAATAAAAATGAATAATAGGAAGAAATAGTAATAGAAGAGAAATACTATGACTTAAATCCTTAGATAGAGTTGGCTTGAATCTTTTTTTAAAGGGTCTGTTCACAAAAATGTGCATATTATCTCACTCATCATTGCTGGCATCTAGTTATGCAATTAGTTGGTTTATTTGTTGAGGTTTGAGGCAAAATTCACTTCACTCTATCAAGTGTATTCTGATTAGACATTGAAAGAGTCCTGTATATCCCACAAATATAGCAGTTTTCTTTCTTGTCTTCTCCTTTCAAATTACTGTCTATATGCCTCTGTGTCTTTTTCTTCTTTACATATTTGTACTTTCATTGTGTTGTTACATTACAAAACCTCACAGCTCCTTTGTTACCCATAGCCCCTTCACTAGCTGCATATCTCCTAGACCTCATTAATAGAAAGTGTATTCACAGATTTTATATTACCACTGCTGTCTACATTCATACACCGCCATTTCCGTCCTCCCATTGCTCCTAATTTTTCAAACACTAAGTTCACAGAGAAAAAACACTTCCTCTGCTGTTTCCCCAACAGCCCAGTGCTGCTCTGTAGATATAGAGATCAGAGGCTGGGAACAGTGAGAAGCTGCAGTTTTGTTTAAGTAGCCTAGAAATTCGTTTTTGCTTTCTGCTCCTCGGTGATGAACTTCCTGGAAGTGCTAAATTAAGAACTAGATAAGATGTAAAATATTAAATGGAATTCATTCATCAGAAGAACTGAACTTTATTTATTTATATATATATATATAATAACTTAAAAGCAGTTGAGTTAAAGATATTCACACCATTGCCAAATATTAATATTATCATATTAACAGTTTACAGCTAACACATACCCTTGCTAAAATAGATTTAATGTTACACCTCAGATCACCTTGCAAGGTGTTTTAGATATGGTAAATGTGAATAATTTTACATGACTTCTTTTATGATGTTGTTTTGACAGGAGATGCATCTGCTAACACACTGGAGGAGATTATGGAGCAAGAGGAAAGCACTGCCTCTGTAATGTCTGCAACTGCTAGTGATACCCAGGGAGAGGACAGCAGCCTCAACATGTCTGCTGATGTTTCATTGCATTCCCCGTCCCCAGATACTGAGATACTGAGCACAATGTCCGTTGAGGGCAATGGGGAAGATCAATCTTGTGATCTGTCCTCAGATGGCAAGTACGAACTCTAGTGTGACTTCTCAAGCCTGAGCCATGATACTCTGTTAGTATTAGCAATACTTTTAATTCCCTGTCTTTGCTCGATTTTTTTATAGTCAACTGCAGAGCACAGTGAATGATTCTGCAACTCTGAGTGATGTGAAGACAACTGTTGGCACAGACTCATCTGACGTGGCAGATACTAGTAGGTTTGCACTTTGATTATAGTGGTATTGTTCATATCTGTGCTGCATATATCTTGCAAAGATACATACTAATGTTTATGCCAAGTCTGTCTTTTTACGTCTCCAAGAAAGACATACCTGTCTCACATGACAAACTGTCATTTCTGTACAGATAGTGATCCACGTCAAGTCCAACAGCTGATCACACCGGAAAGTGTCGAAGGTGTTTGCAGTACTTTACCCAGCAGCCTCCCTCCCACTTTGATGCAGGATGCAGAAGCACAGATCTCTGTTCAGGCAAACACTGAAATCCTCTGGGAGCAGACTGACAGGTTGGAGAGCCCAGAGACCACCAGCACATCACGCCCCACTGGAGAGGATGCTCAAGTGCAAACAGATTTCACACCATCGCCTGTGCCTCCACAAGAACACATTGTAGTTCCTTCCCCAGCTAATGCGCCTGCCTTTGAATCTGCGGGAAAGACAGATATGGCCACTTTGACGGAGGAACTGGACCCGCCTGACCTCAAACACGCCTTATCCCACACCTCAGAGACGTCATCATGCCAAGACTCAACACCCAGCGCCCCTGCCACAACAAAGGCACCGTCTATGTATGCCACAAACTCTGAGCCAAAGCCCAAGCCTTCCAACGAGCTGACAAGGGACTACATACCCAAAGTGGGGATGACAACGTATACTATCGTGCCTCAGAAATCTCTGGAGAAACTTAGATATTTTGAGGTTGCACTGACACTGGAGATGCCTGCAGGTCCAGAAGAGGGACTTAATATTGGTTCTCTTCAGTTGGAGGAGTGCACAGAACCAAGTGGACAGACAGAGGTCTTAAAGGAAAAAAGTGAGCTGCACTCTGCTATACCCAGGGAAGATTTACTGACTAGCACTACTACTACCCAAGGCACTGTTAATGGAAGTATACCTGAATCCATTCATTCCTCATCACCAACAAATTTACCTAAAGCAGATGACAAGATCTCATCCTCGGCTGATGGAGCTTCTCAAACAGGTTCACCGGCGGAGGTCAAGGAGAAGAAAATTCCACCCGCAACAAAACCTAAGCCTGGTTCTTTACGCTTGACACAGCACAAAAAAAACCCTGGGTATTATGTAACATCAGCGGCAGAAAAGAATCTCAGTGCCAGTCCTGACTCTGGCCAGAGGGAGGCTCAAGGAAGTGCAGAGAGAGCAAAGTTACCACACCCTCCTCCACCTCCTGTGCAGTGTCAAGAGGAGACGACAAGGGCCACTAATGCTGAGCTGAGCACTAAAGGGCATGACAAGAATGTAGCCATCATGCGAATGACTAGGCAAAGTAGTTTGCCATGTAGAGACTTAAGCTCAGGGTTAAGCTTGGAAAAATTAAGGAGCTTTGCAGCCCCTAGGCCCTATTCTCCTGCGACACCATCCCGCTTCGCCCAGGCAGTGTCCTCTGCTGTGAGAAGAAGCCAGTCCTTATCCCATGGACCAAAGTCGCCTCAATCGCCTGTTTCACCACCCATCTCCCCAATTACAAGTCACTCATCAGTCATAGAGACGAAAGAATTATCTAAGCACAAGGTGAGTTATGATAGCATAGCATACTTTTAAATATCTAAATAGAGAGCAAAGCAGCAAATTACAATTTTTTACTCATGAGATCACCATTGCTACTTATAGGTTGTTTTAAAAAAAATACTTTAACTCATACACTGATGTTTTAATGCATGAGTTGAAGAGCACTCTGCACTACTGATCAAAGCACATTTTTAGTTTTCTCTTCAAAGAGTTAGACAGAAGTGGACAAGAATGTGACTTATCACACTGATACTTTAGTTAGCTTTGCTACTGCTGTGGCACTTGTTTTTGGTGCTGTATCAGCCATTTACACTGTGACCAGTAGTGAGTTATTGACTCATAAACATTTTAACATCTGCAGCAGAATACTTTGTAATAGTTCCTGTGACCCACTAACTTAAATCAGAGCCCAGGGTTTGATATAAACTATCTGCCGTATTCCCAAGCCCTTAAAAGGAAATAACAGTGGGCTTTCAGTTTTAACCTCTTTGATTTTTTTAAATCCTGTTTAGTTCATTTGAAATTAAGGACCAAGAGGGTTTATAGACTATTTCAGAAAATCATAAAAGAGAAGCAGAGGATGAGAGGTTGCAGTTTTAGACAAAGATGGAATAATGGGCACAATCTGTTGACAATGAATAACTAAAACGATTCAACCTTTTTCCTATTTTATTTTTTCATTTCTGTAGTGTATTTCACACAGAATAGACTGAGAAGTTGAGACAAAGACTGTATATCCAATAATTCATTGCTATCTGAGCATATATATGCCTAAAAGAAAAATATACCTTATACAACCGTTGGACTTTAAGGCTTTCTGACAGTGCCATACATTGCATGCCTTCTGATGAAAAATATTTTAGTTAATGTCCAAAGTAGATTCTAGATCTTGAAGTGAAGATGTACAGTCTGTTAGTGTTTGTTCTTGCCATTAGTATTTAGCAAATTTTGATTCAGGACTAACTCCGGTGCATAGCCATGCAGATCGATATAAAACCAAAATAAATTTGGATTTTATACACTGATTTGATTGCCCTGTACCCAATTGAAAGCTACAAAATATCTTAGATACAATTTGTTTTGCTCAGTGAAATACTTCACACAACATACTCAAATACAAAACTGGCTATATGTTATTGTCCAAGTTTTTTTTCCACAATGTGTGCAGGTCAGGAAATAGTCACATAGTCCAAACAAATGAAAAGAATTGAGTCATGATATAATGCAAAGTCCTTTGCTTTATTCCTGTGCTAAAGATATACTTACCCTTATACTGGGGACATTGTGGCTTTTTTGTATTACACTGTGTAAAAACAATCCTTTTTTCTCTACCAACATATTTCCCCTGTATCTCAACTCTTGACCTGTAGAAATACTGTATTTACGTTTGTTGGACTCAATATAGTTGTTTTATAGGCCCTTAAAATACCTATAAAAAGAGTCTCTTTATGTTGTCTGGCACAGTTATTCTTCAGTGACTGCATACATTGTGTCTCTTTTTTAATATCACAGGACGATGAAAATACAGAGGTGGATGGTGACAAAGGCTCCACTCTGCAGGGTGTAGAGGGTAAACCACCAGCTTTTAGTGGGAATGGTCAAAAGGAAGGAGACAACATGCCATAGCAGTGCCTTAATTCTTCTGAAAGTATCTACTGTAAGAAAAATCCAAAACACATTGCAAAATGATATCATAAATGTATCTACAACACATACATGAACCATTGTGTTTTTTTTCTTTCAGGAGGAGCTTATCCTGTCTACTTTGAGTCTCTAGAACCCTTTATCCCATGACACAGAAGCAGAAACTGTCTTTTGTTTTACCTCTCGTGGTAGAAGTGTACATAAAATGATGCATTATGATCATTAATAATTGCTGTATTTTGTTTTGTTTTTCTCATGTCATTAAGTAATATCCCAAGCTGACCTGCATATTGTAATGCTTCTCTTTTATTTTATGTGATGACTATCTTGCATTTAATGCATTACTGTTGTGAGTGAACAAGAACCTTAAATGAGTACAATTCTATAAGTTATTAGACTGATCTCCACAGTTGTAATATTATTTGGTTTATTCAGAAAATGTCTAATAATAAGTCTAAATAATACTGGATGTGTAGGAGAGACCAGGTCTGACCTATGGTACTCGAATGCTCCTTAGACTATACATCAAATCTATATTTAAATATTACAGAGTTTTGATTAAGCTATATGCAGAAATACACTGATGTGCACAGTTCACCTGTTGTTCTCCTCAACCAGTGTTGTTACAAATAAACTTTTTATCATTCCATTTGTCTTTATTAAATGCATTGCCTTCATTGGGTGTATCGATGATGTTTCTTTTTCCCCTGCATAAACTGCTGAACTCGGATGTTTTACCTGCTGTTTTTCACAGTAGGTAAAACAGTGTGTGACGCAAAGCACAGTAGAGCACAGTAGAGCACCTGTGCTGCACGTGCAGCGAGTTTCATTCCCCGCTGGAGCAGCGATATGAAGACCAGGCTTCAAGGTTTGAATTGGAGACTCCACTTAAAGAGGCACAAGGTAAGAACAGCTGTAAAATGGTATGCCTGCTCAAACAGATATTACCGAGTGGGGTTGAAGCTCGTGTAGAGAGAGCAGGAATGACTGCGACGAACTGACTTGGAAGTGTCGCTCTGGTTTTGCTGTTGAAGTAATACCTTTTATTGAATTGCAGGTCTTAATGTTTTGTAATGAAAATGAGTGACTATTAGGAATTATCGCAACATTTACCCATACAGTATTAAAGTTGTTAACATCTATGAAAATAGTTGGACTTCGGGAGAGTATACGCTTTCCCTTACTTTGGTATTTCTCCACTGTTTGTAGTACTCAGCAATGTGTTGAAAAACACCAAGGTCGAGCTTTCTGCCACGCGTTTCCTAATCGGCAGACGTCCCATTCAGAGGCTATTGTCAACGCATTTTATCTTTAAACATGAACGCGTGTTTAATGTTAACATCGCACAACTGTTGTACATTATTCCTACCAACAACATTTCTATGCTACCATAGCTCACTTAACCAGCGTCAACCGCCTATGGCGTCAACCCACTTAACATCGGCACCGTCAGTGTTTATACATTACAACGCCAACGTTTGCTATTCAGGAGCAAGAACAGGTCTATGTTGCAACATTTAACTTTATTTAAACAAGATATGAAGCAGGAAATGAGCATTCGCACCTTTCACATTTCATGCGAAATACAGACGACTACGAGTAAATTTCACCTAAGAATTAACATGTTCTGTGATTGGAAACACATTTCATTATGCACAATTAATTTACCTCATGTAGTTTAAAAGAAGTTCCCAAAATTATTATCAATTGAAAAAAATGAAATTATTTCCCTGACAAATGGCATTAATTGAATATTAAACAGTATGTAACTGAAAAGATAATAATTTTATTTTCAAAGAAGATTCTAAGTCTGAATCCAAACTAGGCATTCTCAAAACACAGGCTCATATTGGTATTGTAATGCAATAACTTCTCTTTGGGCATTTGCAGCATATTAAAATACGACAGCTAGCTGCATGATACAGTTTTGTTTGGTACAGTTATCCTTGCTTTTCCACAACTTTTTACAACATGCTAGACATAACACATTGAATTCAAGTGTGAAATGGCCCAATGCACTACACTATTCTGCCAAGTCATGAGAAATTACATGATCAGTGCTGTCTCACATCATGAATGGGCTAGTGTGGATTTTGTCCTGCAATACAAGTGTAAAAAAACCTTCCTTTCCCTGTTGTCTCCGACAGCTGCTAATGCCTCACTCCATTGCATTCCACATAAGCCAACCGGCAGAGTGCACAAATGCTTTAACCTTTCCATTTCATTAGATGGGTAGAGTGCATCAAGCTGAATGGGACAGCTGTAGCTTGACTAAAGCTCACTGTGTTCTTTAGCATGAAAGATTTTGTCTAAGTTATACCCCGCAGATCAGTTGGTGAACCAACAGCTCACACTTTTAAAACTAACTTGAGCACAACAGAAAGTGCTGTTTTAGAAGGACTGTCTTCTATAATACTAAAAATGCTGGGGTCTGACGAAGATGGACTATGGAACAAAGGAGCACCCAGGGAGGGCAGTAATGCAACATGGGCCATTACATAGCCCTTGGCAGGCGAAATTGTTCGGCTTCATCAGATCTAATGTCTTGAGCTGATACAGAGGTCTTACCTGTTGTTACAGCTGTGACTGGGACACACCCAGCAGCTGCACGTTGTTGGACACAATTGCCAAGTGGATAGCAACGTGGAATATCCTGTTAATATCCAGTCTCCTTGTCCATTGCTCTGCTGAGGGTTGGCCTGCAGGATTACCTTTGCAAAAGTGTGGAGGTGACTCTGAGACTGGACCTAGTTATTATGCATGGATGAGGTGGCACCCAACTTTTCTTCAGCGTTTTAATCTAGATATTTTAGAACAACAGTGGGTGTACACCTTACACACCTGACACTTAGCACTCTGGCAGGCCAGCAATTTAAGTCAAGGCACTCCTGGTGAGAGACAAGCTAGTGGCAACAGCCAGTGTCTCATTAGATCAGTTAATCTGTGCCAATGATGTCATTTTTGGTGCTTAGCAAAAGTACAGTACTAACAAGGGGGATTATAAATGTGTATATAATTGTGTTATTTAATAATTGACTGGCATATTTAATGACAATTGTATTACTTTTACAAAAGTAAAGTGATCTAAAATTTCAATATGTGAAACTAAAACCAAAGTTCATTACAGTGTGGAATAATCACAAGAAAACTGTATCCAGGTTATTTATATATATATATATTTTTTTTTTTTATTTTGGCCATGGCCTGACAATAAGAAGGCCGAAACAACGTTCAATGTAGCATGGAAACTCCATGAAAATGATAGCGTTACAAGGACAATCAATCATTAGTTATCAATATGAGGGAATTAATTTAGCAGTTGTTAATCAAATTATTGCAATAAAAGAAATCTACCTATTTGTTAGTTAATCACACAACATTTTTGAAGTATTCATTAGCAAATAATTCTTTGTGCAACTATTCATATACTTAAACAAAACAAAAAACGTGTCTTACAGTTATGCGAAACAGTGTTTATTAAGTCCCTAAAATAGATCTGGCGTTCATCCTACACCACTGTAATTAGCTTTTGCATTGAGTGATACCAAAAGAATGTGTTCCAGGCTATGGGTTATTTCTGGACCTCTCATGCTGCCTGGCTCCCTTCAGTCCACCGAAGGACCTCAACTGAACAGTTTGCCTAAACCCAGCTCCCACTACCCTCTGCTCACCAAAATCAATGTCAAGAAACTAATACTGATGCTGATCGTTTCAACTTAATCCAGAGCAGCAGTGCCACATGGAGGCGCAGATTTGTCTAGTGATTGGGTGTTTATCTCGTGTTCATCGTATGCTTTTAAAGTGCACATAAGAGTGCTTCTATAAAAAGGTAACTCAAGCCATGTAGAGTTGTGCTATTGTGACAGATGCTATGGCAAGTAGATGTTTTGGAGAGCCACAGGTCATACAGATCCCTCTGATTTCCATCTCCAAGTAAGAGATTTTGTTTAAGAATAAAACTACGACACGTATTCAGGGAGAGAAAATTCATGACGGTCATCATTCTGAGATGCAACATTGTACTATTTCCTTACTCTGTATTTCTTCCCCTTTTTTAAAAGTAAAAACTACTGGACAACTGTGCAAGCTTGTCATATTTACCACCGTAATGAAGTTAACCTTGTCTTCTGTTAATGTAGTGAGGTATTGCTTTAACCCTATGCTGCCTCTTTGTCTGTACTCCAGTAGCCTGTCCTCCTGTGGCCAGACTCTGTTACACATTACCTTTCAGAAAGATGTTATCATCGCAACCATCCCCCACATGGAGCCTGTCACTGAATGACACAGCCCACAACACAACCAATCTGCTGGACTGGCTACTCTGTACAACCACATCCCTTCTACAGTGTACTAAGTTTAATGTGCAATTTGGATCCCTGTGCGAAGTCCATGACAAAAGAACAGTTTGTTTTATAGTACTGGCGGCCCTCCCAGACTCATTACCGAGCTACGGACACCCCCTTTGTGTAATTGTGCTTTGTGTGCACATTTACTGCCTTCAATGTTGCAAAGGAAACTATATCAAAAAACAAAAGATGGGATAATAAAGCAACAACATCAACAAAAGACTTGAGGAGGCTGAAGAAATTAGTTGATTATTAGTACACCACTGTGTCAGAGCAAGGATGACTGTTTTGGGAGTCATTGTGTTAAAAATATCTTTATTGTGGTGGATCATGTTTGGGTAGGAGGGATCGTTTTGCCCCACTGGGCCAGCCTCGTGGGCAGCAGATGAGCCAGAGAGACGTGAGTGCGTGTGTGTGTGTGTATTCGCTCTGCTGAGCTGTGAGCAGAGGAGCCCCGCCAGCCAGCTTGCTCTAACTGTGCTCTGCACACACTCCAGTCCAACAGCTCGTCTTTTCTCTGCTCCAGATGATGCCTTGGATTTAGCTGGCCCACATGAGTGATATGAATAACACACTGGACAAAATACACACTTCTGGAAGCCTTGGAGACAAAGCAGAGATTTTTCAGAGTGCCAGTGGTAATGTGAGTGGCTTTCCCAGCCCAGCCCTCATCCCTTTGCGAGCTCCTTTACTGATGCCAAATGCCCAAAGGATCAGAACTACACTCTGCAAGGGGAACAGGTACGTCTCATTTTTCTTTACACTACACCATAAATGACACCAATCTATTTTATAAGATTTAATTATGATAAATTGAATTCCACTAAAACTGAATGTAGAATCTTCTACTATACAGTACATTCTGAGGTGTCTAAAAGAATAGTGCACTCTTTGTATTTGCAGGAGTGATACACAGAAGTCCATTTGAAAGCTGTGGTGTAGACTTTTTACCTGTAAACACAATTGGCTCGACCCAAACAAAGCTGTCAATGAAGTATAATGTATTATTTCAACTGTGCAGTTAAAGACCTGGAATCAAATCAAGCACCTGTTAGTTTGTGGGAGATAATTAGTAACTCAGTAACTGCTGTGTTTACAGAACAGTAAAGAAAGCGTTAGTCAGAGAATGGCACCTTTCAGACACTGAGGCCCTCTCATCTGCTAGTGTGCTGAAATCTAACTCTCGTAATCATGATGCCAGTGGCATATTGTAGATGATCTGTTCACACAGTTTTCTTTCTAAATGATTTTAGATGTTTACTATAAGGACATGTTAAATACATTTGAGTAGTAAAGAACAAAA